AAAGAGCTCCAGCTGTTCTCACAGTGACGGGAGGTACAGTTTGGGATGCATACGCTTCTCCATATTATGTGGCTTCTAAAAAAGCTCTGTACCATAAGGCTTCCAAACACTAATTTTTACTATTTAAAGTGTTTTTGTCTTTCTTTTTTTCAAATACTACCCTGTGACTTTTTTTCCCTGAATCGTAACTAAGCAAAGTAGAACATTAAAACACTTCTTTACAAATTGAAGGTAGCCGATATAAAAGTAATAAAATTATCATTAGGTATTTAAGATTATAAAAATGAATCAGAACATATGTCCATACAAAAACTGACACATGGATGTTTATAACAGTTTTATTCTCAGTTTTCAAAATGTGGAAGCAACGAAGATGTCTTTCAGTAGGTGATGGACAGATAAACAGTGTTACATCCAGATAATGGAATATTATTCAGCACTGAAAATAAGTGTAATATTATTCAGCACTATCAGGCCATGAAAGGACATGGCAAAATCTTAAATGCAATCTGAAAAGGCTACATACTGTGTGATTCTGGCATTGTGACCTTTTGGGAAAGGAAGATGCTGGTGACAGTAAAGAGATTAGTGGCTGCCGGTGGGGTGTGGGGGTTGGGGAGCCTGGGGGGGCATGGAGAGGAAGAACTGGCAGAGCACAGAGGATTTTTAGCACAATGGAACTATTCCATATGATACTCTAGGAGTGGGCATATGGTGTAAAGCATTTGTTCAGACCCATAGAATGTACAGCACAAAGGGTGAGCTGTAAACTGTGGACCTGGCATGATTATAGTGTGTCAGTGTGGGTCCATCATTTGTCATAATTGTCCTTCCCACGCTATGGGTGTTGATAATGGGGGAAACCATAGTGTGAGGGCAGAGGGTGTGTGGAAAACCTTTGTAAGTTCCTCTCAATTTTACTATGAATCTAAAACTACTCTTAAAAAAATGAAGCCTTTAACAAATAATAAGTAAAAGAAACAAATACTCAATTGTATTTTTGATCACAAATTTATTAAAATGATTTACAAAAGAGAAATTGATCTTTTTTAAAGTAAATGACTCATATTAAATGTATTTGAATACTGCAATAAACCAATTAGAAAGATTTTCTCAGTTATCAAAGAAATACTTTTATAATATGTGTGGAATTAACAATTAATTTGTGTTTTTAAGTTTTCCACAGTATTTAGCAGGATTTATGAGCCATTCTTAATCAAATATAAAAGTTCCATAGAGTTTTATTAAAACTTATTCTCAGAGACATATCTAGACTTGATCTAAACACTTGACAAAAGAAAAAAAAACTAGTTTAAATTCATTTACTGGTTTAAATCCAAGCACATATATTTCAGGGCAAATGGAACACAGATGTGGTTCAATCAAGGAGAAAGTATGATTAATTTATGACCTATTAACATAACTCAGACTATCAGTAGATTAACATAAAAATACCTTATCTTCTGTCATACAGAATGTTTTTGAAAAACAATGGATAAAGCTGAGCATTCATTTCTCATTTCAAACAAATAAGCAAATAAATGCTTTATGTACAAAATAGGACTAGAAAGATATCTCTTTAATGTGACGTGAAATCAAATCTCTGTTACACATACTTGGGAAATATATAAAAATTACTGTCCTGTTGTCTTTTTGTGTTAAGCTCTATGCCATGATTACTTAGTATTGCTTTAGGAGTTTGGTCTGATTTCAGGATGTTTTGTCCAAGACAATTAAACAAGTAAAAAATGTGAAATACATCAATATGAAGAAGGGTAAAGTATTTCAACTATGTTATATGATTATTTCCTTCAAAAGTTCAATGAAATTAGCTAAAAAGTATATTGTATAACAGAAGTATCTGGCTAGAGAAAACATAGGAAGTATATATAAATTACATGATAAAATTTCTAATTAATGAAAACAATTCATTTATAATGGAATGTTTTGAAATGCAGTTTACATATAACATTATATAAGTTCAGGAATAAGACAATGAGTTGCAATACCTATATATTGTGAAATGATCCCCACAGTGAGTATAGTCAGCACCCATCAGCACACGTAGTTACAAATCCTTTTTACTTGTGATGGGGATTTTTAAGATCTACTCTCTTAGCAATTTTCAGATAAAATACAGAATTAACTCTAGTCACCGTACTGTACATTACCCCCCAGGACTGACTTATTTTGTAACTGGAAATGTGTACCTTTTGACCCTCTTTCCCCATTTCGCCCACTCCCCTCAGCCCCTGCCTCTGTCAACCACAAATCTGTTCTCTGTGTCTATGGTTCATATTTTTTTAGATTCCATACAATGGAAATGCTTTAAAGCATGATGTTCACAGGAATTAATTTAATGATGACTATGTGGATTAGGGAAATAAATAATAACCTTAGATGAAGGGCCTTAGCAAAAATAATTTGAAAATAGACCCTGGGCTCTGGCTTAGGAAGATGAAGTGTTTCAAAAGTATTCATTTTTTCCAAGTATATGTGTTAATGGAAATAAATTCTGAATCAAAATCCCCACACGGCTATGTTAAGTAAAATTATTCTGAAATTACACTTTAAAGTGAGATAGGCAAAAATATAAAATAATTCTCTTAACAGAGTAAGAGATGGCAAATGAGAGTGGGCAGCAGGATCGGTGATCCTCACTGCATGTCACATGCATGCCGCAGTGCCTGAGGAAACAAACGCCTTTCTTACACACTGTAGAATGTGGGGAAGAAGGGCATGTAGAGAAATAAGCTAGTGAGAGCAGCTCTTCCTCCGATGTGAAGAGATTCGGATGGAGGAACACCTCTTCTTGGAAGCACCCCCAAACACTGATATGCCGAGTGCGTGCTGAAGAGAACATTCCGCAGCAGTGAGGAAAAACTGGGTCACTCATAAAACTCTGCTGTGATAAACATGATTAGAGAAACTACCTGTTTCTCTTGTGTAATAGGAAGAATATTCATAACAAATTAGGTTTGTATTTTATTTTGTTGTTAATCATTTTTCTTTCTGTGGCCCTTGCTTTTTTTTTATTAAGGTATTGATATACACTCTTAAGAAGGTTTCACAAGAAAAACAATGTGGTTATTACATTCACTCTTATTATCAAGTCCCCCACATACCCCATTGCAGTCACTGTCCATCAGTGTAGAAAAATTCCAGGGTCCCTATTTGTCTTCTCTGAGCTACACTGTCTTCCCCATGACCCCACACATACCATGTGCACCAATTATGATACCCCACAATCCCCTTCTCCCTCCCTCCCCACCTACCCTCCCCCACCCCTCCCCTTTGGTAACCACTAGTTCCTTCTTGGAGTCTTGGAGTCTGCTGTTGTTTTGTTCCTTCAATTTTGCTTTGTTCTTATGCTCCACATATGAGTGAAATCATTTGGTACTTGTCTTTCTCTGCCTGGCTTAGTTCAGTGAGCATAATACCCTCTAGCTCCATCCATGTTGTTGCAAATGGTAGGATTTGTTTTCTTCTTTTTATGGCTGATAATATTCCATTGTGTATATGTACCATATCTTCTTTAACCATTCATCTACTGATGGACACTTAGGTTGCGTCTATACCTTGGCTATTGTAAATAGTGCTGCGATAAACATAGGGATGCATATGACTTTTTGAATCTGAGAAGGGGTTTTCTTTGGGTAAATTCCTAGGAGTGGAATTCCTGGGTCAAATGGTATATCTATTTTTAGTTTTATGAGGAACCTCCATATTGCTTTCCACAATGGTTGAACTAATTTACATTCCCACCAGCAGTGTAGGAGGGTTCCCCTTTCTCTGCATCCTCGCCAGCATTTGTTGTTCCTAGTCTTTTCTATGCTGGCCATCCTAACTGGTGTGAGGTGATATCTCATTGTGGTTTTAACTTGCATTTCCCTGATAATTAGTGATGTGGAGCATCTTTTCATGTGTCTGTTGGCCATCTGAATTTCTTCTTTGGAGAAGTTCTGTTCATATCCTCTGCCCATTTTTTAATAGAGTTATTTGCTTTTAGAGTGTTGAGGCATGTGAGTTCTTTATATATTTTAGATGTCAACTCCTTATTGGATATGTCATTTATGAATATATTCTCCCATACTGTAGGATGCCTTTTTGTTCTACTGATGGTGTCCTTTGCTGTACAGAAGCTTTTTAGCATGATGTAGTCCCATTTGTTCATTTTTTATTTTGTTTCCCTTGCTTGAGGAGATGCATTCAGGATAGGTTTGTATTTTAAATACTGTTTCCATTACAAAGGTAATGTATAGTAATCTTTACTGGAAAGAAAAGTGAAGAACACTAGCTCCCATGTCCTTCTCAGGAGCAGCCACTGTTAATGCAGCACATGGCCTCCAAGTCTGTAGTATATGTGCAATATTTTGTTGACACCAATTATAATTCTTGCACATTTCAGTCCACATTAAACTAATTTCCCATCACATCATACATGTTTAATAAGCTCCATATTTACAACCAAATATGATCCATCATATTAATTCTTGATCATTTCCTTTTAAAAATTATATGCAGTAGTTGGATTACTTCCTATCTTTCATCTTCACAGAACATTTGGGAACAATGGTGTATATAAGGCTTTTTTTGGGATAATGTTGGCCTTTAGCCAAGTCTCTCTGTAGCAGAATATTGTTTTTGCCTTTTGGCTTTGGTTTGGTCACACTCTCTCAGATGTGGAATCTACAGAAAGACGTTGATTTTCTTTTATTTTTCCCTCCTCCTGTAAATTATTGTTGTATTTAGTATTAAAATAGGGTCAGAAAGGAAGTGAAAAGATTTTGTAAAGTAAGCTCTTAAAAAGAGAGCAATTATAGTTATTTTTATGTGGGCTAATCAGTATCCCTCTAAGTGTGTAATCAACTGGCATCTTCAATATTCAAGCCACTTGACTCGCGCGAACCGTTGAGTCGACTGGGATCGATTTGCTTGGCTTCCTTTTCTGTTCCTTGAGGGCATAACTAAGAGCTGATCTTTCTTTCTCCCTCCTAAAGCTTAGTTTTGGAGGAATTCCAGTACCAGGCAAGCCTGGGACCTTTTTGAAGAAAAACTTCCATGGATGTATTGAGAACCTTTACTACAACGGAGCGAACATCATCGACCTGGCTAAGCGGCGGAAGCACCAGATCCACACCGTGGTGAGTCGCCCTCCGCGCCAGATCCGTGGTGTCCGACGCTTTGGAGTGAGCCTTGCTTTCCCATCCCGCCCCCTGTACCTCTTCAGAATGCGTTTATATTACGCTCTTCGAGGTCCCATCAGCCTCCTAGTGGAACTGGAGCATGAGAGCAAAGGCACGGAGTCAGTGTGACTTGCATTATTGGGAAAAGGAAGTGCATTAGAGTCGCTTAGAGAATTACATTTTCTGGGACGTGGGCTGGGTGCCAGCTCTGGGTAAGGTTACAGTCTAACTGAGCTAACATCAGTCTCTTCATTATTTCTGGTAAATGAAAGAATACAACTGCAGAATTTGTTAAATTCTCTATCGTGGGAATTACATATTTGTCTACTTATTGCTGACATTAAAAATAGGGCATTAAAAATAGACAGGTTAAACTTTTGGTGTTCCTGAGGTTCCCTTTACAGCATTGATCATGCTGACAAGTACGTCATTTTCTAATGAAACTGATATTTGTCTTCTCCAGGAGACCACAAGGGCCCGGACTGTCCCTTTCTTTTTCACTCTTGAATTCGTCATACCGAGCAGGGCGCCTTGTGCATAGGAGGTGCTGATAGCGGTGTTGATGTTTCCAAGTGAAGTTGTGGATTTGTTTATTTCTCCTCCTAGCTTTGTCAGCTTTGCTTCATGTATTTTACAGCCCTGCTTTGGCTACAATCACAGGATTGCAGTCAGCCTGGTGGACTGGCCCTTCTATCATTCATTATATAATGTTCTTCTTTGTCTGTGATAATTTTATTTGTTCTGAAGGCTACTTTACCTGATATTAATATAATCACTCCTGCTTTCTTTTGATTAATGTTTGCTTGATAGATCTGTTTCTCCATTATGTTACTTTTATGCTGCCAACATCATTATACTAAAAGTGAGATTCTTGTAGACAGTAGTGTACTCATGTTTCCTGATGCACTCTGTCAGTCCTGTGTTTTTAATTAGTATATTTAAACCATTTACATTTAGTGTATCTATTGATATATTAGACCTCAAAATGCCTGTTTTCTTTTTCTGCTTCTTCTGTTTTTCATTTCTGACTTTTCTCTACCTACTTGTGTGTTTCGTGCATGAATTTGTAGAATTCTGTTTTGAATTGTCTATTGTTTGAATGTATCTCTGTGTATAGCTTTTGTTAGCAGTTTCTTCATATTTTCTTTTCTCAAATGTGTAAGTGGTTCAGGAAGGATTTTTATTATAATGCCTGCTTAAAAATAACTTTTCAGACACTTCTGACATCTCAGTCATCTCACTGTTGGCATCTATCAGTTGTCTGTTTCATTAAATTTGTGATCTTTCATGACAAAGAATTAGATGCACATAGTTATCTTAGTTTATTAGTATTTTATTCAATTTGAGTGAAATGTGCAAAATCTTACCTCTCCTGTGTTCTTTACCTTTCCCTGTTTGTTATATAATTGCATTTATATAAGGATATTATATATCCTTATAAAGGAGAGGATATTATATATCCTCTCATATTTAGAATCATATCTGTGTTATTTTTGTTTCAATTGTCAAACGTAATCCAGAAAACTCAAGAGAAGGAGTTTATTTCCTATTTTCCTTGCTGTTGTTTTTTCTTCCTTCTTGATTTTCCCAGATTCCTTCTTTTATCATCTCATTTCTGTTTAAGGAACTTCCATCAACCATTTTTTAAGGTGTATGCTTGTGACAATTTTTCTTAGTTTTCCTTCATCTTATAACATCTTATCATTTCTCATTCTTGAAGAATCGGTTCAAGATTCTGGGTGGACTCAGCAATTGAAAAATGTTGGGCCTTCTCTTCTGGCTTCAGTGGTTTCTGGTGGCAACCCACTATTATTTGAGTTTTTCCCCCATAGATAAGATGTCATTTCTCTCAGTGCTTTTATACCTCTGTCTTTGGTTCTCAGAAGTTTGAGTATGATGTGCTGTGTGGATTCCTTTGGGTTTCATTTGTTTTCTTGAATCTGTGGTCTTATATCTTTCACCAAACTTGAGAACCATTCTGCCATTTCCTTGAATAATTTTTAACCCTTCCCCCTCCACCATCTCCCTCCTGAATTCCACAAGTATGAATGTAGGTCTGTCGTTATAATCTCTTGGGTCCTCATCTTCTATTTATTTCTCTCTGAGTGTCTGTTTCCTTCCCCATACTGGGCACCTGTTGTGTGAATATTGTTTTGTTTGGAACTGTCACGTAGCTGTCTTAGCATCATCTCATTTTTAGAAGTTCTTTTTCTCTGAGACCTCAGCTGGGTTCTTTCCCTCTTCTCTCTTGCCCATCTTGCTGACCCTCTCCTCTGCGTCCGTCATCTCCTCTTCATTCCCTCCATTGTATTTTCCATTTCAGTTACTGTATTCTTCAGCTCTGAGTGGCTCTTTTTCATATTTCCTCCCTTTGTTGACATTCTCGCTGAGATCAGTTCTTTCCCCCAGGCTGTTACTTTGAAATCGATAAGACTGGTGATGTTCATTTCTTTTGTCCCTCTTTCTGGTTTCTCATCCCTTTGTTGGGAGCGTACTCCGCCGCCTCCTCGTTTGGTCTGGCTTTCCGTGGTTCTTCCTGTGTATCAGGTGCATCTGCACTGCCTGCTGGCCTAGACAGTGGTGGCCTTACGAAGCAGGCGTCCTGCAGTGCCCAGAAGCTCAGGACTCTTTGCTCCCCTGTGCCTGGTTCTCTGCAGCTGAGCCCCAGTTGCTGTGGGTGGGCTGTGGGCGGGCCCCCTGTCCGTCTGTCTGTGACCACTGACTGACTGTCCGCAGAGGCCGACAGCTCTCCTCCGCATGCCCTTTGTGAGCTGGGAGGTGCTCTGCTGGGATCATTGTGGGCAGGGCTGCCTGCAGGTCAGCAGGGGTTGCCCCCTGGGCCGGGGAGGTCAGCAGATGAGTGTGCGGGGGTCCTGCCGCAGGGCTGGGCCACCAGTGAGGGAGCTGGAGAGCATGGAGCTGGCTCCTCAAGCACCCCACCAGCAGGCCTGAGGGATGGCCAGGAGAACTAGAAACCCCCCTCTGTGTGCCAGGCAGCAGAACCTGACACTGCTGGGCCAGGCGGGTGGGCGGTGGTGCCCAGGGAGGCCGAGGGGCTGAGCTGCCAGCAGGGAGATGGGGCATTTGGGGCCGGCTCCCAAGAGCACCCGGGCAGTTGAGCTGAGGGAGGGCCTGGGTAGCGTTGCTCACCTGCTCTTTCTCCTCCATCGAGAGCTCTGTCCAACTCCTGCGACTCTGGCATCCCTCCCGCTGCTGGTAAATGTTTTAAACCACTGCCTCTGTGTTCAGTCTCAGTGGGATCAGTGGAGCATGCCTGTCCTCTGTGAGCAGCTGAAGTCTCGGCCCCCCTGGATGCCCCAACTCCCCCTGGTGTCCAGCCCTGATAATGACCAAAACCTGATGCAGTGGGGACTCACGTTCCCAGAGCAGATCTCCAGGGACGGGTGTGCAGAGCTCCCGGGCCTCCGTGACCTCCCCGCGGTGTTCTGCGTCTTCCCTCCTGTGAGGGCTGGGCCGGGAGAGGCCTGCGCCCTGCTCAATGGTGGCTGTGCTGCTTCGCTCCTCTCTCCTCCAGCAGGTGTAGGTGGTCTGGTCTGCAGTCTTCAGGTCACTTTCAGGGTCAGCTCTATTTCCTTGATGTTTGTGTGGGAGACGGTTTCCACCTTGCCTTCCTACTCCACCATCTTTTCCACCCAAAGTCCAAACTATAGAATTTAAATGACCTCTATGTTTATTTTCCCCTTGATAAGTATACCCTAAAATTAATATTTCATTTGGGTTTTTGGGTGCCATATATTAACACATTTTTAAGTAGTGGCCATTGAATTACAGGGTATGAGGCAGAATTGTTTGAGGTACATCATACTTGGGATAAAGATTGTCAGTGTTTTAAAGGATTTGTCTCAAATTCTGATGCCTTAATTTTGAAGAGTAAGGATGGTGCTCACAAGGGATCCGTGTCCTGACCCTGGTTCTAGGCGGCCAGTGCATTCCTTACACACCCCTGCTCGTGCACAGGCTCCTGGCAACTCTCTCACAAGCGTGTGCATAGGTTGTCCATCTCCCGATTGACCTGGGCAGAGGCTTCCTGGTGGCATTTTGGGTCAGGAGACCTGAGCCACGTAAAGCATGCCCATGCCCCTCGCTTCCAAGCATTATTCCCAATAAATATTGCTTCACCTACCAGATCCATTAAGTTCAGTGTGCCTGCTGGCAGTGGCATTGTATGTTACTAGGAGTTAAGCTGAGACTGATGCCACGCACATCAACAACCTGAAACGCAGGATGCTACCTGCCGTGGTGCTGGAAGCTGGCAGCGCAAGTCAGAACCCAGGGAGCTGTGGGAACATCCCTGACTCCCACTCTTCATGAACTGGGGCTCAGCAATATGATAGCCTGAGCCTCAGATATAAATAACCAGGATCCCTATGGCAACATTTGTAAAAATAAATCTCCATCTAGATCATGTGTTAGAAAATATCTGTAATGATGAGGTGTATTAACAAAGTCACTGAATATGCACAGAAAAACTGGAGAAATAAGGGAGAACAAATACAAAAAACATGAATTCTGAATATTTGCAGTCTTCAACACCTCCTTTCCTGAGAGAATCATTGACCAAAACTATAGTGTTTTGTTGATTCCGAACTCCTGTGGCTCTTACCAAGGTGCCTAGACTTTTCATGCACGCTTTATTCCTCAGTGTAATTGGCAGTATTGTTATGATGAAGCACAAAGATCTCTGTAGCACTAATGTGCTAGGAAAATAATCCCAGGAAAACTGTTTTACTTTGCAAATAGACAACCTTTAGTTTTAACCTTCACAGTTTAAAGAAAAAAAATACATTCATTCTTCTTCTAAATTGCTTACATCCCCTTGCTTAAGTGAAAATTCAGATTGCTGCACACACACACACACAGACACGTACCTCCTCAAGGGATTGCACGTGAGGAGAAATGGTTTGCACTGTTAGTTACAGGTACAAATTCTTTTATTC